GGAGGGAGGGGGGGAGAGAGAGGGGGGGAATAAATCTTGTGGGCAGAGGATTGTATGATCTTGTAGCAGAACTAGCTCCTCCCTCTCCACCCGCTTTGTTCCATCAAGAAATGGTGGCTGTAATTTTTGTGTGTCCTTGGATAACATTTAGAATTACTTAAGTCAAAGCTTGTGTAACCTGAGGTGGCCTGCAAATTGACATATGAGGCCATATGGAAATTCTCTACAACAGTGGTTCTCAACCTTTTTAATGCCGCGACCCCCAACCGGTCGTAAGTCAAGGACTAAATTGGTCGTAAGTCGAGGACAAACCGGTCATAAGTCGAGGACTAAACTGGTCGTAAGTTGAGGACTACCCAACTGGTCATAAGTCAAGGACTTTCCCTGCCCGGGAGCGCCACACATGCGTGGTTCCGCCCCCTGCACCGGCCGAGGCGTAGCTGGCAAGCGGCAGAGACGGAGCAGGCCGACCACCAGCTGGCCCAGCCCAAGGGAGGTAAGGCACCCGCCGGAAAAGAGGAAAAAATGGCGGACAGCCTTGCTTTGCGACCCCCGTGAAATGGTCAATCGACCCCAAATGGCGTCGCGACCCATAGGTTGAGAACCGCTGCTCTACAACATACATTCTTAATCAGCACAGATTATAACTTCTGCTTCTATTAGGAGTGCTATAATACAGTGTATCTGGAGGACGTAGAAAAAAGAATGACTAGGCAGAATGCAAGTTCGAGGAAGAAAACAAACCGATACTTAAGACAAGAGTTAACACAAATATTAAGGAGTTACAACATTTTTGTTTTTGTTTACAGATGTCTGTTGTCATGATTTTGATGTTTCTGCTGGCTTGGTCTCCATATTCTATTGTGTGTTTATGGTCTGCATTTGGAGACCCCAAAAAAATTCCCCCCACCATGGCAATCATAGCCCCATTGTTTGCAAAGTCATCTACCTTCTATAATCCCTGCATTTATGTGATTGCAAACAAAAAGTAAGTGGCTCTATTGCAAGATGGGGTGGGCATGATGGAAGAGGGAGACATGAGTTTTATGTAGTCCTGAAGAATGCAATATTTTTAAAGATAAGGAAACCAGTGTGGTTAGAAAGTTTGAACTGGAATAGGATTTCTTTGTAACTCTATGGTATTAAGATAGAATTTTATCATTGATTGTAATTGTGTATTGATTATAATTTTGCATTTATCTCACTACTTGCAATTAATTCCCTTTCCTCCAGCACCATACACTATGTAGACTTAGCTGGTGACTAATATAACATTTCATGCAAATGATTAAAATCTGCTAATAAACGCCTATCAACAAATTAGTTAACTATAAAAATTACACATTTTAAGCATTCTTTGTTGATGGTGAGGATTACACATTTTTAACAAAGTTCCCACGAATTGCCATTGTTGTCCAATTGCCAAGCCAGTGGCCTATTGCTGTTCTCCTTTTTCTGCCTGCCATTTTCAAACAAACTATCTGTGATAAAAGCAAGGGAAGAAAGTACTTGCCCACTGCCCCAGAAGTTAGTATGGATTAGGTCCAGAGGAAGAAGCCTATAAGGAAAGGCTGCTGGAATTGGGTATGTCTAGTTTAATGAAGAGAAGGACTGGGGGTGACATGATAGCAGTATTCCAATATCTCAGGGGCTGCCACAAAGAAGAGGGAGTCAAGCTATTCTCCAAAGCGCCTGAAGGCAGGGCAAGAAGCAACGGATGGAAACTAATCAAGGAGAGAAGCAACCTAGAACTAAGGAGAAACTTCCTGACAGTTAGAACAATTAACCAGTGGAACAACCTGCCTCCAGAAGTGGTGAATGCTCCAACACTGGAAGTTTTAAAGAAGAGACTGGACAGCCATTTGTCTGAAATGGTATAGGGTTTCCTGCCTGAGCAGGGGGTTGGACTAGATGA